AACATGTGAGTAGGTGCAGTTCTCCAATCCAGAAGCACAATGGATGTAATAACGACGGATTGCAGCTGTATCACGGGCTGATAACATGAATCAGGTAACAACTTTCATTCCCACAAGAATTGTGAATCTAAATATTGCCAAGCAAAATTGTAAATGATTTCTTTTAAAATATTTATCTACTTGTGCCCACTGAGTGATGGAAAGAAGGAATTGGGTAGTGAACAGTGATCAAAAGGAGAAAGAGAAAAGAGAAGCTCTGCTACCTTCTGTGCGTGCATAACTTATAAACCCATTTTAACTTTGCATGTACCGCCATGGTTTACTCCGCCGGCGCAGCATGTCTGTGCTCTTGGCACGTTCTGTGAGAGACAGTAAGCCACGAAGAGAAGCTCTGTTTGGATCAAAATGCTGGGATCAGATCATTTCTGGAGCTCGTCGCCTCTGTATGTTCCTTATACCCTGCTGTCACTGACTGGGACTGTAGGTCTGTCAGTCATAGTGTCACGACAAGGGTTCTCAGTGGCCCCCCAAGGCCTTTCCCCTTTGGCGTAACTTGGTGATGCCACACAGATGACTGACTGCTCCTTTCAGTCGGAGGGCTGCCGGCTGTCAAAAATGTCTGCGTGACAAAAAGGCTTATTCTGTATGTGTGTGTTTGTGTGTGTGCGCGTGCATGCATGCATGCGTGTGTGTGGCTTCATCACATGGCTTGCAAAACCTTTCCCAGTTTAAAATCTAGAACGCCTGATTAAACATTGAAATATATATACATAGAATACGAGAATGATTCTTTCGTTGCCATTTCCATATCTGGCATCGACACACACGAGGGCCTTTGTGTAGCTGTCACTCGCTCACTGCGGAAGATGCCAAAGGTCTGACACTGCACAGAGACAGAGCCGTCCATGATCTGTCCATGTTTGTTTACCATGCAATGTGTCTGGGAGTGTGTTTGTGTGGGAGTGTCGACCCGCAGAGGAGAAAGAAGTCAATCTCCAATGTAATGAAAATGCAAATCGTCTCTCTTGTGTGGACCTGCGCTGTCAATCAGCCGCACAACACTCCGTCGCCTTTCAACCCCCTCACAAAATGGTGCCTCCATCAACCCGGACGTGACTGGATCAAATTACTATTCTAAGCCATTTCCCCCTGTTCATTACAGATAAATCCATCTCCCTTATGGTTCTGTCCATTCTCTATTTTGCCATTGATTTCTGTCATCCCTCCATTTATCTGACCTGTTGTCTTCATCCCTTCTTCTAACAGTTTCCCTCCGTCCTCAGCAGAGGCAGGATTAGACTTTGGTATAAGAGTGAAGATAGGGGAAATGAAAAACGATGAAGGTAGCTGGAGGGGACTGTGGTGATTAACGGTCACTAATTAACCCTGGGTTCTTTTTTCAATTAGGGTTCAGAGGTAATGGATTGCTTGTTGTTGGGGCCGACTCCAGACACACAATTATCCTGTCTCTGTCCGGTAGCCAGTGACGGCAGGACAGAAGGAGTTGATCCAACAAAGAGTGGCACTGCCTGGTCTAATTTCTTATTTGTTGGTTTGAACTGTACAGCAAAACTGGTTACGCTTAATCCTTTCACAAACACGTAACCTGCAGTCAAGAAGTTGTAAGGAAATATCTGGCAGCTCCCAAATGCTTCATTTAATTTACTCGAGTTCTGACAGCGGTAAAACTTATACACCGACTACGGTTTAATGTGTTCTACTGTGTCAAAAACTGTTTGCAAATGATGCCAACATTTTTTGCCAAAAACAAAGTTTTGTTGAACAAAGTAAAACTATTAAATAAGACTAATAAGAGTTAAGTTAATTCAACAATTTATTTTTCAGACTAAATAGCCTCAACCTGCTCAAACACAAAAGGTCCAGAAACCTCAGACATGATTCTTAAAATTGATTCAGGCCTGTCATTTCTAACATTTCTTTGCACCTGTTGCGTTTGAGCCGGTCAGGGTTATTTCATCTGGGAAATAAATTGTTGAATTAACTTAATTCTCATTAGTCTTATAATAATGAGGTTTGAAGTATAAAAAATGTTCCGTTCTTCAGGCAGGAAGCGTTTTACTCCATCTATTTTTTCATTTTTTCATTAAACAAATTAGATATGTTGCAAATGAAGCTATTGAGATAATTGAGATTAATTGAGGGCAACTTTATCACTGTGGAGTGTTGATTACTGCTGTAATAGCTCATCAAATTGTTAGGATTTTTTCAGCACGTTACAAGCTGTCATTATCTCATTCTCAGATTTGTTTTACTGCCTCTGTTCAGATTGGTTTGGATGATTGTTTAAACGAAAGATGCGTAAGATAACCCTGTGGTTTGTGCACTCATATTTGCAAGCGAAAGGGATTTCTTCACCCCCACACACCACGTGTCCGTTTTAAAAACTGCCCATTAGACAATCAGACCGCTAGCTGTGAAGATTTGTTTCAATTATAAATATTACGTCTCGGCAATAGAATCTACTTCATGTACTTCTCTAAACACCTTGTTCCCTTCAGTGAACTGCATCTCTAGTAGCTAACTCACACTGTGTGAAATACTGCGCGATAGATTTGTTGGATACAGTTGTTGCTTTTTTTGATCCATTTTGAAACAGATTCCTTAAATTTCTCAGTCACACAGCAGAGAGGAACTCATTGGCTGCAAAAACATTTTGACCACATGTACCATGTTGGTTAGCTCACAGACACCAAATCCATGACATGTCTGTCATGTCCACGAAACGCTGTTAAGTTAATTTAATGTTGCCTCGTGATTTCGTGTTTTACTTTTAAAAGTTAACTTTCCATTCCTTTCAGGTACCTTGCTCCTTCCCCTTGTGTGCTTTCCCGCTGGTCCGACTGTCTGTCCCGCCCCTGATCGTTTCCACCTGTGTCCTTTCCCTGCTGTACATATTGTCTGTGCCTCCCTTTGTCCTGTGCTAGTTCGTCTTGTCCCTCGTTTCAGAGAACCCGTGCTGCACACATGCCATTTGCCGTTGTCAGGCCTCGCTACTCTGATACTATGTTCATGTTTGATTTCTGTTCGGTTCTTTTTTATAGTTTATTTTCTAGATCATTTTTAGTTCTTAGGTTTAGTACAGGGTTTCCCTCTATAGAGAATGATTAACATTTGGGTTTTTTGTGATAAACTTTTTGCTTCTTGAGTCGTGCATTTGGTTCAGTTCTATTGTTCTCTTCTCTTCTCTTCTATCTTTTGGCAAGACCTGTGGTTCTTCCAAAGACAGGAGGCCATTCTTTGCCACAGTGGGCACATCTTGCAACTTTTTTAAACCAATCTATCACACAGAGAGTACAAGACTTTCTGAATGATGGATTTGATGTGAGCCGGGGTGAAATGTCTATGTTTGCTTCGTGGGAGTCTGAAGCAAGGTGTTCTTTAAGGGTATTCTATCTGTCTGACAAAATGCTTTTTTAAAATTTGTGTTATTTCTACTATTGTGTGTGTTTGTGTGTGTGTCTGTTCATTCTCAAATGTGTGCACAAACGTACACGCATACAAACAAACAAACCAGTGGTGTAAAAATCCCTTGTTTTTCTCAGTGGTTTCCCGCTGATAGATCAGAACTATTCCCACAACCCGCAGTGAGGGACAGCGTGCACGGGCGGCGGACTGTCAGTCAAATCCACATCTACCAGAGCAAGTGATGCATGAAGGGAGTTTAAGATCGCACTGTCATCTTCACTCTGGTCCCCTGCAGTTCTTCCCCCTTCTGCTTCCATTTCTGCTCCAATACTCCGCTGGCCACACACTGTATAATCTGTGTAGCGACCATAACTGACTACAAATAACTCAGCAGGACAGATAACACTGTCTGAAGTTATAGCTTCGGGCCCCTTTAATGTGTTAGAGTGGTGTGTTGTGTCATTTTAAGTGTCAACCGAGAAGAAAAAGGAAAAGCTTGTGTCATTATTGCATCTTTACCGGTAAATCAACTTTCTGCTCTACTAAGCAGTCTACTACTACGATATCTGTCAATACTACCGCTGCTCTGACAGCTTGTACCAACACCGGCCGCTGGGGGCCGCTGTTGCATCCCGCTCCCCGTCGCTGTCCGTGGTGCTGAAATCACTTACTGCGGTGCTCAACACCGGCCTTATTTTGGTAAACACCAAATAGACACACAGCGCAACCGTCTAAAGCGACAATCAATTACTCAAATAAGTAGTTCCACCTCCAAATGAGACGGTGATCCACTCCAACTTGGCTACAGTTTAGAGCCCCACAGAAGGCATGATTCTAGGCAGACTGCACAGAAGAATCGCAGGTAAAGTGCGAAATGATTCTCAAGCACTGAGGTGGCAACATAGAGGGTTGGGTTTTTGAGTGCTACTAGAGTGCTTTTCGTGTCACAACATAGAAGCTGGCACCATGGTCGCGGGGAGGGGGGTAGGGGGCTTCGGACAATCCGGATCAGTGCCGCTGGATGAACGTCAAGTCAGCCAGAGGAAGTTACAACGAGAAAGGAAATAGTGGAAATACTCCTCCTAAATAAAAAAAAGAATACGTGTTCGCACTTCGGGGGTGTTCTAGTGCTTCAGCCCCCAGGGTCGTCGTGCCGTTGAATCAATTTTCCTCTTCAGTAACAAAAATATCCTGGCTAAAGTACAACCTAAAGGATTGCACAGAAAGCTAATTAATATATGTTCCACAGTTTGCGTAAATTACGATTTCAAGTTTTGTAATACATGTTTACCATTGATTTTACTAAATATTGTGTTAAAACTTGAAAATAAGAGGTTAACTGTGGGTATGTAAACCATTAGATACGATCATGTGGATTACTCAGTTCCTCTGGGGAACACTTCGTAATTCGGGGTCTTATAAAAACAGTTACTCAAATTCGTATAATTGTTTATATTCGTTACCTCCTTGAAATTCCAAGCAATTGGCCATGACGAACAAGCCTTTTATTTTGAAAATATCAACCGGATTAAACAAAAACTAGCGAGCTTGCCTCCTGAGAAGTGGACACTGGGCGATGCGACCACTCGCTCTGGCTTCCCCGAGAAGTTCACACGTCCGAGAAACCAGCTCGCCCCTCCGTGGAATCCTCGACGGGACCCACGCACACTTCTACCCGGAGGTCTGACGACAACGCCATTTGTTCAGTAACTCCCATCGGATATATAAGCCCGACAGAACCAGCGCGCGGCACTTCGCCTCAGATCCGGAGTGCTCGCCTCGCGACGGAATTACGCTCCATACACGTTATCTTCCAACACGGCCACGGACACTTGCTGAATGAAACTTTCCACCGTTTGGCAGCCCCCTCTGGTCACAGTGTCCGCTTCGAACGAGCGCGTGGCCCGCCGCTGTGCACCGCTGGTTGGCACGCGCATAGACATGTTGTCGGCTCGCGTCAACTTCCACGTCGGGAGGGTAGCAGCGATGTCCGGGGTCGCTCGTTTTGGGAAGTGATTACTGGCTGCATCGACGGTCGAATTATGGTCAGAAGATGCCTTGTGACGTTCAAACCGTTCAGGTAAGAGACAAAGAGCCCCACGGTGTTATTTCTCTCCACCGTGTTTTGGTTTTTTTTTTTGTCCCTCTGTCATGTTGGCGTCAGGCGTTGCGCTCGCATGGTATTGATTCAAAATGTGCATTGATTCCCTGCTTCCGCGGCGCTGGTGCATTACGCGCGGCCAAAGTGCGCGGACGAGTAGCGCCCCTCACCCAAAACATTGGCCGCACACACCAGATGTTTTCTCCGGGAGGAGAATTAGATTAAGATCCGCGCGGATGAAAAGGGACAAAACGCAGAGGAACCGCTCCAAGAAAGCCCCGTGCCAGCAGGCGGGCGAGCTCTAACTTAGTTTCTTGCATGGGGGAGCGTTCCCTTATCTCTGTGTATCCGGCCTGTTTTTGTGAAGATGTCAAGAGAAATCTGTCACACACGTTTGACAGTTTATAGCCGTAGGGTCCATTGAGTCATCGGGCACCGAACTGCTTTATATCTGCCCTGAGAGGTAAAGAATAAAGGCGGCGTTAGGTTCATTCCTCTATTTCTGGATTCTGGGAGTTGGAGAATCAGTGGACACAGCCATCTACCTTTTCTTTTTGTACCCACTTTCCATCTAATCCTGTATCTGGTGGCTACATTCATGCTTCACTGAATCAGTGGAACAAGCTCTCATTCAAACACCGTCATTAAGCAGTCTTTGTGAGGAAGCCTTGAGAGCTGGTCACAGATGTGCCTCATGTTCAAAATCACAACGGATGTCTCGCCCAGTCAGCTGGTGTTTTAGTCATTCACTCTGAAATGTATTACTTGGTGATATTCAACCTTCTTTGGACATTTAAAGGCGCTTGAACTGTGGTTATTGTGAACAGGAATCTCAGATCACTGGAGCATCATGACAAGACTGATTTCATTTGATATATTTTATTATACGTCTTGCTCTCTTATTCCATGGAAAGGCGGGGTTAATAATAAGAATAACTTCATTTAAAGGGCACATTTAAAAACAGAGTTGACAAAGTGCTTTGACGGACGAAAGCCAGGCCATAATACCAACATAAAGCTCAGCGGGGAGCGGGAGGGACCGGAAAGGGGCCATTGGCCAGGCAGAATTCAGCCGTCACGGTTTGCTTGTTACCAGTTGAGCTGCTAGGTTTCCCTCAGGGATCACTGATCTTTGGCTACTTTGTGCACCTGGAAAAGGTTTACTTGGAAAACACCACAACGAATATCTTTCTCCACCACGCAGAGCTCCTCTCGCGTTGACACCTGCAGGCAGAATCTGATTTGTATGTGTGAGGAAGCCAATTAGCTGATAGCAGATCTCTCCTTCTGATCCAATTAAGGGGAGCAGAGCATTTACTTTAAGCCTGTTAATTAAGGACTCGTCAACCAGGGCCGGGACCTAATCCTCTCATATCACCCACCTAACACCACTTTGGAAAACGGTAAGAGAAAATGATAAGAGCGGAAACGACCGCCCGAGGACGGCATCGGGCTTCTGCACCCACATGAACTTCATATTTTTATCAGTCTTTTTATTTTTTTCCCCCCTTGCTTTGTCTTCCCATCAGTCACTGCGTCGCTTTCCTGCAAACACACGCGCGCACACACACACACACACACACACACACACACACACACACACACACACACACAAGATTATTAATCCGTAGATCACTGAGGGACTAGATGAAGTGTAATGAAAAAAAAGCATCCTGGCGAGCTGTAAAATCAGCCAATTTTCCCTAAAAGTGTCTCATATCTACCCCTTTTAATTTTTTCAAACCCTGTCATTGGCCCCCCGCTTTTTCTCTATAAAAAAAAGGTTTTCAGCAAAATATCGGGGGGGGGGGGGGGGGGGGGGCTGCACTGTGGAAACAATGTGTCTCCTGCTAATCATATCAAAGTATATAGTAAGTGCATAATCCATGCAGGTACAAGCATCGCTGGATCACGGCAGTCATATTCATGACAAATAACCCCACTATTGTAATGAGTGTTTGGGATTATTGGATTCGCAGCAGTTAATGCATCGCAGCTCTGCGGTCTGCTGACAGTGATTGAGCTATTCTAATTCATTCCGCAATATGCCCAGAACAGATGTGAGCGTGTAGGAAGGGGGGGCGGGGGGGGTTACGATATTCATAATATCATAATTTTCATAGTGTCCTGGGAGGGACAGAGCGGTAATAGAGGAACCACGGTGAATGTGCCAGCTGCCGGGATGCTCTGATTTTGATGTACCCTTACGCTGCGATGATGACGTGCCCGTGTTTTCCGTGTAAATGACTAATTGGTGCCGACGTGCTGCCACTTCTCCATGCCGCTTGCGGCTCCGATCCTAATGATCAGAGCGTTCATCACGAGTGTGCTCTACAAAATTTAGGGTGGTGTCAATTTTCCACACGAATGTAGTCAGACAAAAAGTACTGTTTGTCTTTTAATTCATCGGATCCAACCAGCTAAAAGGAAAATAATGTCATCGGATCAATTTTGCTTCCAAAACGTGTGGGAAACAAAAAATAAATCCCACTGTAAATGAACTGAAACCTGTAATCACGTTTGATGCAGCCCATTAGATAAGAGCCTTGTCGATGAGAATGCTAATTATTATTATATTGCGCTCCCACTTTCTGTCCTTGAAGCCGGCGGATTACGACAACATGGGCTTCGTCTGGGAATATAAAGTCTCCGGGGGAGTTTTCCAAAGTACTCAATGTACTTAGCAGATCATGTGGCATCATCGTGATCACTCCTGGCAAATGTACTTTTAAGTGGGCATTCTTGCACGCCGCCGGTGGCGACTCATTTCTGACGGCCTCATCAATATTAAGACCTTTGGTTCAGAACTTTGCGTGACTGGAGCTACTTCCCATCGCGGGGAAGTGCTTTCAAATTTCACAGAGGGGCCGGGGCATTAAGGCAAACAGCCTCTCGCCCCGGAGTCGAGGAGTAAAGCAACAGCTATGAATAATGTATTCATTTGTTCTGTTAACATTCAATTTAGCCAACGTCTGGGGCAGAAGTTACGAGCTTCAAGGTCACCGGTGCAGAGTAAATTATGAAATGGTTTGTGACAATTATATCACCAAAGTTGCTTTTCTTTGAGCTGTATTATTGCACTTTTAGGTACGTTCTTCATTTGCTGGATACAATATTTAACTGCTTGTTTTGTTGTACAAAATCTAGGATAACTACATTGTACCCAAACAAATGTAGGGAAATGGGAAAATATTTAGTATAAGTAGAGGTGAACTTCACTCTAAATCCTCCTTTTGTACTGTTCTACTGCTACTAAATCTTCACAGACTGTTCTCTTGCGAGGTGGGCGGGCGGGCGGGGGGAAGGCAGGGGGGGTGTTAGCAGCTGAGCAGCGAGCTTTTTTAAAGGAGGACCTGTTAGTCACGGAGGCCGACTTGTATTTTGTCCAGCGGATGAAGATCACAGACAGCTTTGCCTCTCCGGTTCCCCAAAGAGTCTTGGCATTATAAGATAACCTCTGATCCATATTCAGCAGACCGAGTAGCTTAACTAGGGCAGGATTTGAACACACACACACACAAAAGACCTGATTTTCCATGCTTTTAAGTGAAAGATCTGACTCTCTCATGGCTGTCTTCCATGGGAGAAGTCTCTTTTTTTCTCTTTTCCCCTTCTGAGGCAACACGTCCGCGCCACAAAATGAGGCAACGAAGAAGTTTATGTTTCTAAGCCAGATCTTCACTGCAGATCAGAGCTCACAACCTGCTGGATTTAAAAACACGGTCACCAGAGGTCCGTTTAAAGGATTGGTTCAATACTGACATGCTGACGTGAGTTATTGGGGACTGAAATCTTTTACACTCTGACGGTCACCTGAATTGCTTCAATGTTTTTGCCCGTCTTCTGTTCCTCTTCCTGTCCCCTCTGCACGCCTCTGATGTCGCGTGAATAATGACATTTTGCCTGCTTAGGGGACAAACCCATTCTGGCCGACGTCCCGCTTGTCAGCCAACCGATGACATCCAAACGCTAAAAGATTTTGAGTGCCCTTTGGCCTCAAATTTTCACCATCTCCGCTTGTGATCGCTGCTGTATTTGTGCCCTGCCTTCTGGATGTGCTTCCTGTTGCTTCTCCACTCTCTCCTCTTCTTCCTCTCCCCTCCACATCTTCCCATTGACACTCCTAAACCACTTGTTTTCTACCGCCACTCCGCCCCACACCCACTCTCTCTCTCTCTCTCTCTCTCTCTCTCCTCATATTCCCCATATTATTTCCCAACGACCTGCCCGGGAAAACATCTATTTACCTGCCCTTCCCCGTAAATATGTGTACCTGTCTCAACTCCCTTTTCATCTATTCCCACTCTCCTCCCCCATGTGTTGCAGGATATTCGTGGTGGGAATTGGCTTCTTCAGCCTGTGCTTTCTAATGACCTCTCTGGGGGGGCAGTTCTCAGCCAAGAGACTCGGGGACTCCCCATTCACCATCCGCACAGAAGGTACTGACATGCATGTGTGTGTGTGTGTGTGTGTGCATGCTCTAAACTGTTCCTCCGCTGGGTTGAAATGCTGTGATGTCACCGCGTATTGCCGTGCTATAACTCTCCCCGGTCCTGCTGGCACTTCACTGCCGCTTGGCACTTTGTCAAAGCCGCGCCACCTGTCACTGGAAACATAAAATGTCCCGGGATGGCGGGACGAGGCGAGAGAAACCGCCAAGTAGATGTAAATTGGGTTGCAGAACAAGCACGACCAGTACATTTCACTCGCATAACCCTCTGCAGAAAAGCTGCTTTTGCAAGAGGTGTGGTCAAGTGGTGAGAGACAAATCAAGCCGCCTGGAAGGGAAGATTGATGCGGCGGTTGGGAGGTGAGGTGGAGACGCCAGTCGGTCGCTGTGAAGCTATGGGTCCGATCCCCGGCGGTGACGGCAGGGTGGGTTCATCCTCACTACTTTTAGGGTTCCTGCACTAGACGACAACATGGTGCATATGTTATCAAAGCACATGTGACCAAATGAGTTTGGTGAAATGCTGTTGACTGAGCCAACAGTGCTGCGCAGCTTAACAACGCACAAACAGTTGTGCACAACACACCGGAGAATGAATCTACTCAGTGATGATTTTTTGTTGTTGCACTGTCAACAATATCTGGAGGATCAAAATAATCATTTTACAGCTCCCCTTAACGCTCTCAGCGTCCTCAGCGAGACTCTCCATCACAGGAAGTCCAGAGAAGTGATATAACTCTCTGCTTTAACTACACGTGGTATGACGGACAGTACTTCTCTGCCTAACCCCAGAATGTCTTGTGCCAACTTACACGTCAGCCACTGGCGTCCACGTTGGAGGGTTGAATGAGCATCTTCTAAGGAGGGTTTAGGGTTTAGGGGTGGGATGATCGCAGCGTGGAATGGGAGCCATGCCGGGCCCGGAGGCGTCAAGGAACCCAGGCAGTGAGACTCAGGATGGGGTCTCGCTCAGCCCCGGCTTCATCCTGCATTTAAGTGAATAATAACTACTTAATTAAGTGCTAAACGTACTCAATGTTGAGATGTGAGAATGAGTAGGATGTTGAGAGCGCGGCAGTGAGAGACATGGAGAGGTATGAGCAGGTGACTTTACATGCAAATTGAAACGGAGCGAAATGGATACATTAGCATAAGCTGCGGGCGAAGCCTCCTGATCTTACACTGTGCCGTTGAGACACTTCTCAGCACCGGCGGGAATTTCCACACACAGCGCGTTGGCCGCCGCTTGGACACTGAGGCCGGCCTCCAGCGGCGCCGTATCTCACCAGTGAAATTTCATTAACGCACCGGCCGGCCGATTTCACACGAAGGCTGACCGCCGCGAGCGAGGCAGAGAATAAAAGTGCCGGAGCTGTACGGGGCGCGCAGATTGAAAGTCAGAGGCCATTTTGTCGAGGCCGACCAGTCATAACTACACTCTGTCGGTCATGATGGACTGGTGGTAATGGAAAACATAAAATAGCGGACTTAACTGGAGACGGAGGAGCGTATTATAAAGTCAGTCACAGTGTGTGTGTGTGTGTGAGAGGGATAATGGAGTGTGGATGGGGAGGTGAGGGAGGGAAAGGGGCATTTGGGATTACTGTGTTTGTGATAAATTGAGATTACTGTGTATGTGTTGGTGTGTCTAAATAAAATGCACTTGATTATTCAACTAGTCATGCACAGCAGCCTGGAAAGACATCTGGCGCCAGCTCATTAAAAACTGCATCGTGTCCACTGGTGCTTTCCCATAGGACTTAATAGTGTGTGTGTGTGTGTGTGTGTGTGTGTGTGCGTGCGCTTGTCTACAGGGTTTTTTCGGTATCCCAATGCGCTTAAATACTTTTGTGCCTGTCTATGCACTAAAGCTTGTATCTCGGTCATCAACAGTGTGCCGGGGCACATTTGTTTGTGCATGCCCCGCTGTGTTCACCCTCTTCTCTCCATTTACGCTCTCTGTGGTCCACCACCGCTTACAGCTCTTGCTGTGGTAAAGAGACTTTAGAAATCCATGTGTGTGCGTGTGTGTGTGTGTGTGTGTGTGTGTGTGTAGGTGTGTGTGTTTGCGATGAGCTGGCTGGAAATTGGCTGTTAAATGGGGCGACGGCAGCAATGTGGGACAAGATTGAGACCAGAGAGACCAAGAGACAGATCCATCTGCTCTGTTCAAATCAGCCTCGTGAAACAACTGGCCCTTTCATTGAGCCTGTTGTCCCCACCTGCAGAGGAGCAGCCGCACACACACAGAGACACACACACACACAGCTAACGTGTCAAATCGGACTGACCTTCCATGTGAAAATGTGCCACATTGCCAAATTAAAACAATTCCTGCTTCTGTTCAACACAGAAGGGCTGTTTTATTGTGCGGCAACTTTAGCCGTGGTCATTTTTATTGTTTTTATCGGCTTTGAAGTCACTGATGTATTTTTTCCACAGGCAGAATTTGGCTAGTTTTATGGCCATTGGATATCAGCCAAGACATTTCTGGTTAAGGAGCAATTAGAAACAATTTATGCTGCGATTTGCAGAAGAACTATTACCAGTTCCACAATATTAGGTGCAATGTACATAATTAACAGCATCATAATGAGCTTTAGCAATTAGAAATTTAAGCTGCATCACAATGTGGCTGTGAAAGGTTCTGCATCGATGCAGTGACCAACCTGAGAGTCGGCTCCTTCAGGGGTCCATTAACTTGTTGCTTTCACTACCAACAGTGATGGGCCGAAATGGAGGTTGTAAGAGCTCTGAGTAAGGAAAAGTCCATACAGGCTCGGCAGATTTATATAGTGTAAAATGACAAAGACCTGCAGGAAGTGTCTTAGAGCTGCTGTCTGAGAAATGTACTTTCGTAGTCTACCGCACACTACTTATGCGCTTCAGAAGGATAAAGATTTTATGTTTTGTAACGTTTTTAGTGATAACGGCACAAAGATGCAGCTTTTTGTGTCACTTCTTTGCACTCTCGGTTTGAAAACATGTCCTAAGTGAAAAGGGAGCGCGGACTCATCTGACTGCTTCTATTGAGAGAAAATGGCAGAAATGTAGAAAACTATTATGCGATACATTGAGATGGTTGGAAAAACGTCGACACGTGATTCATAATTATCGAATCATCAGGCCAGTGAACAACATCGACGCTTCTAACGCCCAGTGACAAAAATATATCTCCATTCAACTGGTCCATGTAACACATTTAACCAAACCAGCCTGAAAATGGAAAGGATATTGAACTGATGCATGAGAGTCAAATGGGGTCAATGAGAGTCCACTCATGTATTTGTAAAAGCTTTATTCTGTAATTGAGCCTTTTATCAAAGAGGTGACTGTGTCATTACAGAGCTGGCTGTTGCTTTGACCACAGCCTTTGGCTCCCTGTCAAACATGACCTCTGCCTTCAAAGCTCCATTGAAATAGTGGGAGAGATGATTTACTTAAAAAGATCAGTCTTTAACATTGACTAAATTAACAGACAGGAAGTATTTCATACAAACATTTGAACTGAAGAAGACAGCTAATTTTAACCTTTACGAGCATAATATTCAGAACTGGTACGTCCACAGAAAACCTTTAGTCTGTTGTCTAGTTCTATTATCTCAGAAAATGACCGAGTTTACATGTAATGGGGCTTTCCATGTCCCGAGTTGGTGATGATGTCAGCAGCTGTCATCTAAGATGAATCATCATGAGATGTGTCGGCAACTGTCAGGGTTGGGTAGGAAGGCAGGACTCAAACGCAGACTTTAAAGCAATAACACATACAAGTACCGGGGGAAAAAAACGCTGGCAGGAACGAAGAACATCCAGGACAAAAGACCGGGAACATCCAGGACAAACAACACACACTGCTTAAATACACAAGGGAGGTGCAGGTGATTAGACACAGGTGGAAACAATCCAACAATCACAGGGGATGACAGGACCAGGCAGGAAGTGAAGTTATCCGGGGACACGAGTGGCAGAAAACTACAAAATAAGACAGGAAGTGAACCACACCGTGACAGGCAACAAGGCCATCAGAAACACATGTCAACGAGACGCTTTTCTCAACATACATCAAATTCACAGGATTTCATGCCTTTGTCATTTTTCTTTACACAGATATTAGCCTGCCGTTTGCACACAATAACGGGTAACTCTGTGTAAGGCTTTGTCGCTGTAGTGGGAGTTTCGCTGATAGCGATTGTTTGGGTATTAGCTTGAATTTTCGTCGCCACCTCTCGCCTACGTGGATTACCGGCTTCCACTAGAGGTTGTCTCTCAAATCCCCTCTCAAATCCCCGTTACTCAGTGACTCACAAACTCATCAAGAGCCGTGAGCCGGAGATGGAGAGGTTGGGACTCAATAGTGTAAATGAGAAAGTGGGGGAGGAATGCGGAGGTGGTGGTAGAATGGAGATTGTTTGTTTGTGTGTGTGTGTGTGTGTGTGTGTGTGTGTGCATCTGTGATTAAGCAAGATAATGAGATTCCTAGAGGTTGCATTGCTTAAAAAAGACAATGATGAAAAAGCGGGATAAAAAAGGTGCGTAACCACATTTTCTTTTCCCTGCCGATTCAAAAACTCACCAGGGAGATGTTAAAGTTGATCAAAGGCCTTCCCTATGGAGCTTGTTTATACTCTGCAGTTTAACGGATTAACAAGGACCCATGACAGTCCCTTCACCCAAAGCGTGTTTCTCACTAGCGTTTGTTCTAGCTGAGAGACCCGCGGCCTTCTCGCTGTCTGGATCTCGCTCCCCGCTGAGACGATAGAATTTAAATGTTGTGCTCCGTTTAAGATGTTCCAGTTCTCTCATCCCGTAGGTTTTTCATGGCTAAGATTACTGTCAATCAAAGACAGTGATTTTATGAAATACAAGATTGCCAGGAGGAGCGAGCTCTCTTTGGAAACGCTGGAGCTCTCCGATCAAGCGGAGGCCGAGACTAATGTTTGTTTGTCTGAACATTTCCACGCCATCAGTCAGAAAAGGACCTGCGCTTAT